CACTTAACATATTTCTTCCTTTCTTATGAACATGGTACTTTTTTTTTATTAAATAATGTGATACTGCTGTTCTGCACATGACGACTTTTTTCTAAGGTTACCTATCATCATTACTGTGAACCTGAGGTTTCACACCAGAAAATGTCACAAATGATGATCACTTCTTCTCAATCCTTTGTTGTTCTGTTCCAGATAAAGATCAGGTTCCCCATCCAGGTGACAGCATGTAGCTACAACAAGACCATGAAGGTGTTGGTTTGACCGCCAATTAGGAACATTAGCAACAGCAATATGAGCACAATGCTCAGTTACAATGTGCAGTATTACTGCAGCATTATTTTATTTGTGTTTGATTTAATTGGTATTAGGGCATTTTTTTAAAGTTGCTATTAATTATGTCTGGAGATAAATGTGATGCTAAGCTCATCTTGTGTATAGAAAGATAATGAATCTTGTTTTACTAGCTGATCTCCTCAATGACCCTCACCAGTGATCACATGGTTTGGATTGGTGCTGAATGGCAGCAACAACAGGCAGAAATTGACAGGCTGAGGGGGTTATCAACAGGAGTTTACCTCACTAGGAAGCCAAAGTCATCTTTATTTCAAGGTTTAGAGGACACAGACATACAATTTGGTAGGTGGGGATGCTTAAATAATTCAAGGGACCCATAACTGGGCACCACGGAACATTTCAGGCATAATAGATATTCAGTGTTGTAAAGCTTCTCTTTAGCTGCCGTCAAGAGGCACAACATTTCTAGTTGTGACTCTGATGATGCATGATGAGAGGAAACTGCTTGGATAAAACAGTGGATACTTATTTCCCCCATGTACGACCCTAACTTAGACAAGCAACAAACAGATGGATGGACAGCAAAAGAGAGATTCAACAGGTAAAGACTATATTTTTCTTTTACTATCTTTACTTTGCTGAGCACACAAACCTCCACCTTAGGTAAGTATTCTGTGCTTAGCAAAAGAAGATGAGAAAAAAAATACAATGCCGACACCTTACCTTAGCAGCAGCACTGGAGTCTGACATCAGGTCCATCCTGCAGATGTAAGACATCACATTAAATTTATTATATTGACATTTTCCTTTGGCGTTTCAGGTTTGTCCCTCCAACCATACTAAAATAAAAGAAGTTGTCTTTCTGTAAATAGAAACAGGAGCAAGTGCACCTGTTAAAATCTTCCATCAGACTGAGGAGTGGCTTTAGAAAGATATTAATGTGATTTGAGAGTTGTCTGTCAATTTGGGGAACATTTGCTAGAGATGATAAACTTGACACTTTTGTCAGCTGCACAGTTTGCAATTGTTATCACACTGAAAAAAAAAAACACATATGTAAGCAACCATACTCACAACACCCTGAGGAGGAAAACAGTGCTGAAAATGAATGCAGACTTAAATGGAAAGCCATGAGACATGAAGTCCATATGAAAAGAAATATACTGTGCTGTAAACAAACTGTCTCTCTGGGTAATCTCACCACCATGGACAAGAAAAAAAAATCAACCAGGAATAAATCATTAATTTAAAAAGAATGTTTACTGCCGTCACTGTTTGAGGCCTTGCAATATGAGATTTGACAGCTGCAAGGTGTACTGTGAAGTCTTATCTCTATTCACTGAACTTATTTAACTGTGCTTAAATGAACTTGCAGTCTGAGGTCCTTGAAAGGTGGGAAGCAGCCTCCAACTGATGACAAATAGTATTTGAACACTGAAAGACAGGTGAAATTATTGGTCAGTACTGTGTTATGACAGATATATTTTATTAGAATACATGTATGCTGCCAAATATGTAAAAGAAAAGCTGTTTTTTAAAGATCAGTGCAATCTTAACAAGCGGATAATTAGCAGATACTATGAGCAATTCACAGCTAGTTTTATTAAGCCAAGCATGAACCTGTTGTAATGTGTAATTTTTCTCAGAAAGCTATTAATTAAAGATAATGGCAGTACCATGCTTCAGCAACTTATGCAGGATTCTTTCTATCACAGCATTTATTTGCCCTCCATTACACAAACAACTAAAAATTATTTTTAACTTGAGTTCAGAGAGTAAAGTTGCATGTCACTGAGAAGCTATAAAGGCTTGTGAATATCATCTGGCACTGTGCGTCCACCGCGGTGGTGTTAACCAGAGATGAGCACTAGCTGTGAAAGGTCAGTCAGAGGGCAATTGTGGATAGGTACTCAATTTCCAAAGTAGCACATAGAGGGAAACAACTCTAAATGTATTACCTTTCTGCAGTGAAGTTTATTTCAGCACTGGCTATATTTTTTAACCACACTACCATGTTTGCATTTGGTATTTGTCTGTGCATATATAATAACATATCATCTGCATGTACACATTTTTTGCATCATAGGACATCACATATCATGCCAGACAAAGAGCTGCTGTATATTATCCAGTTTACCTAGATATCTGGCTCTAGTTATTCAGGTCTGCACCAGCACAGATCTTGTTAATCGCTTTGACAAACAGTGCGTCTGCAGTGCGCCGTAAATCAAAGCAGGATACAGTTGTGGCTTCATCAGCAGGGCCTAATCTAAATGTATCAGCTGGTGTAAACACAAGGACAGAAAATCCATTTGCTTTCTGTGTCTATAGTTTGCTTTACTGCAGGTTGCCAGATATAGTTTTGTCCTGTGTATGACGGAGGACAATGTTGACCAAGCTGCAAACAAAACAGCTGGAAGGAGGTAAGAAAACAAAGGTTGTCATATTAGCTTCAAACCAAAGCATGAACTACAATGAATCTATATACCATCATATAATACATTTACCATACTAAAAAAGGACTGAGAGATTAAAAATGATATTTTACAACCATTCATTACCACCCCAACGTAACAAAATCAGGACAGACTCAGTTTATGGAATGACATAAAAAGAATGACTCAGTTCTTACTTCATACCACACAAGGGTACAATTTCATATATAATATATATCAGGCACAAGGGCCTTTTCTGTCTGGATGGAAAGGGTGGGCACTGGTTTTTCAGTGGAACATTACTGCCATCTACTGTGCTGGCAGAGGTGTCCCTGATATTCAGAACCTCCAATGTATGTAGCTGGGGAAGACAAAAATATAGACACTTCTGAATATAATGTAGTTTAGTACAGCACCACCTCTAACTATGACCTCAATAATAAACATATGACTTAATTTAGACAAACACTTTGAGCTTCATAAACACAGATGTTAAGGTGGAAGTGTTGCATTGAATTGCAGACTATTGTATCTATCTAATAAAGTGGCTGCTGAGTCTATACGTCTGTCAGGAGCCACTGATGGACGTGGTAGTGGTCCTCTGCTTGATACGGGCCAGTAAATTGTGGAAGCAACCTGATAATTGCTATAGCATTGCTGAAGACAACGAAATGCAGACTTTTGATTGATACATGAGCCAGAATTTCTGCATCATGATGAGGTTTGCTGCCATGACAGAAACTAAATGAACAAACCTCTTCTTACCACTAGAGGGAGGTAACAATGTATACTATTATCAGGGTAGTAGTATTCAAATCCCCAGGAGGAGGCCTCCTGTGACAATGCAATACTATAACAAGTATAAAGCTTAAATGCCCTGTCAACTTAACTTAAAAACTACAGAAATAAATTAATCCTCAGTGACTGACAGCACAATACCCAAAGCCACCAAATGAACCAGTTGGTTGGGAGCCAGAAGTGTGACTTTATTTAAATTGATGTCACACTTCCTCCATCCTTGCTCATAGTGTAAATAAGATCATGTTATTTTAAAACAGCTGAAAGTAAATTAAGGGTAATGATGTTAAAAGGTTTAACATTTATATGAATGCTTTATTTTTTTATTTTAAATCTCACAACACTTTGAGGTGTTTATGTAGCACAGGGTGTTTACCAGCCAGAAATGTAAAATTAACCATATAGCACTGAGATCTTTCTCCACTGTGCACAGATAAAATCATTGTTTAACTTCTTAGTTTGATCAAAATGTACCCCCCTAGGGTGTTACTGCTGTGGCAAAAGTGATCTTATTAAAGCTTGGTGAGTGTAGAACAAAGTCTTGATACCAAATCTGAATGTTGTTGCGCATTTATTCCGTGCAGGGAAGGGGCAGCCTCCGTACAGAGTGCTAACAGTAACGGTCTGAAGATAGAGGCTCTCAGAACGGAGGGCTATAGCTCTTCTTATACACACACATACAAATGCAGGAAACAGATGCTCCAGTAGATACAAAACAGGATACAAGTTATCTGGTTCAGCATTCACACAAAGGCAGGTTTATCTCTACAACATGCTGACACAGTAAACTGTCTAGTGTCACAAGCACACAAATAACTGCATAGAATAGCAACAGCCAATACACTACAAAGGATGCGAATATAAAATTCCCATTGCAATAGCACTGAGATCTTTCTCCACTGTGCACAGATAAAATCATTGTTTAACTTATTACTTTGATCAAAACGCATACACATGACTTTTTGCTATAGGATTATTTTTGAATAGTATTTTTTTTAATCTTGTCTAACATCTCGACAAATGAGATAAATTTCAGTTTACTGAGTCAGCACTGTATTAACACTCTAACCAACTTATATGCGTATAAATACTTGAGTAAAATTTATATACATAACATTTAGAAACATCTGTATGATGTAATACACCAGATTTAATGTGAAGTACATGACAGAGCTCAACAAGACAAGACAGTATAAATGTATTTTAGAAATATACACATTCTTCCATATTGTGCTTTTGCGCCGTACCCTCGTGTATTCTTATCATCAAACTTCACCATCCACAATGAATATAGACACTGTTTGGGGGCGGCTGTGGCTCAGGAGGTAGAGCGGGTCATTTCCTAACCGGAGGATTAGCGGTTCGATTCCCGGCTTGTCCAGTCAACATGTCGAGGTGTCCTTGAGCAAGACACTGAACCCCCAGTTGCTCCCGGTGATGTCACCGGTTTGGGAGTGCGAATGGGTGAATGGCCGAATAATGTGAAAGCGCTTTGAATGTGCTGTAAAAGCATAGAAAGGCGCTGTACAAGTATAAGACCATTTACTGTTGTCACAGTAATAAAGACCAGCTTTATTTTGTCTTCTTACAATATCTAGATACATTAAAGGCTTTTCCAAAACTGGATACAAATGGCAAATCTGCCAGCTGAATACTTCTGTGCTGTAAAACAAACATAGCATTGCACATTGTTGCAATCATGATTTCAGCAAAAATGACTTCCCTCTGCTATTCCTCTGCATAGAACTGTAACTAACAGGACTGAAAAACTGCCTCATTGATAGATTGCTGCAGTATGTGTTGTCACATGTGACAAATAGTTCTATAATTTCTATAATATAGTTCTATAATTTAGTGAACTAAAGCAACAACTACTTCCACAGCTTGTTTTTGCAAAATACAAAAATGTAATGAAATGTCTCACTAACACATTTCCAAAATAATAAGCTTCATTCTGATGAACAGCCTCCCTCTGGTGACAAAACTGAAGCATGCTCAAAATCAGAAGTAGGCTTCTGGCGGGGGGGGGAGTCATGACCCACAGTCCTGTTGAGCAAGGATGATACAAAACAATCCAGATGCAACATTACTTCCGGAACAAATATGACACAGTAATATAAAATATCTTAGGCTACAGTTAAACACAGCAGTTCAGTCTAAACATGGAATTCTCAGTTTCTCATAGAGAGGAATAATTAGCTCTGTTGTAACTACCACTTAAATCATAAGTGACCTGAGGTATGGAGCAGTCTGTGAAGAAGTTTGGGAAGGCCAAAGTGCACAGTGTATTGTCCTCTAGGGGCCCAGTAGCAGCCTCAGAATGACAGTAGAGGGGAGGCTGAGCCGGGCCTGTACGCAGGCTGTCCCCTAGTTTCTTAGAGGCTCCAGAGCAGTTAGTCCAGGGCTCTGAGTAGAGGAGACCACCAACTAAATGGTGGGCATCATAGGAAGTAGGATCCGGGCCTCCCATGTCTGGCTGCCCTCGGAGAGGCATGCTTTGATAAGGGTCCTGATCACTGACCATGTTACTGTAATCAGGCCCCAGGAGCTCAAAGAACTCTATAGCCTCAGGATTACCACGTTCCAAATCCTTCAGTGTCATCCCAGATGTAGAGCTGACTTTGGAGCAGTTGGCAGGCTCAGTGAAGAAAGAGGGGGGCAGATTGCGATGCCTCAGAGGTGGCTTCTTAGCTTTTTCACCCCTTATATCCTTCACGGGACTGAAAAGGGCTGCCAAGCTCTTGCTCTGTAAGTTGGCCTGGACCCCATCGCGCTTGGGTAGAGTTTTGCTCTGTAAAGGGCTGGACTGAGCCAGAGGGGAACCCTGTCTTTTAACAGGGACTTCTTCTACATTTCCTGGTGTTATAATGCCCGTGCACCTTTTGATCTGCTTCTGTAGATACTTCCGGTGGTTGACTTTCCTTTTGGATTTCACTGGCTTGTCCAGAGCCAGCTTGATATTGCTTGAGGCCGAGTCGATGAAGCTCAGCAAGTCCTTAGTGGTCTCTTTGTAGTCCTCATCGTTTTCTGCCTCTCCCAGGAGACTCACATCCAGACTTTTCTCCACATCGTACTCCATCACAGAACCAGGGAAGCAGAAATTCATGAACTGAGGGTTCATGATTGCAGTCTGAACAGCCATCACTCTGTTGAGCCCAGCGGCTACACCTGTGGCATCCGCTGTGATCCCTGAACCAAAAGTTTCTTCAGAGCATGACTTTTTTCCTCTGACAAAAACTTGGTCCTGATGCTGCTCATAAAGTTCCTGTTAACATTCTGGCATGAGGGGCTCTGAGGAAAGCAAGCAGATCTTTCAGGGGGCTGGACTAATGATGTCAGAACATCAAAGAGGAGGGGCAACGGGACCGCAGGACTTAACTCTTTGCTTGTGCCCAACCACCTGCATCTAAGAGGGATTTGTCTGAAATTCCCTGCTGAGTTGGAGACAATAGCCTCTGTCAGAACTCTGCTCCTCCAGTTTAACTGTTTGTGTGTGCCCTGAACCAGAAAGACTTTCATGAAACGGGAGGATATTACTGTAACCGTGAGAAGAAAAGCCTTTCAAATCCCTGGAGCATTTTTCCTGACAGAATTGTTAAACTAAATTTCTATTAAACTTAAGAGAAAATTACCAACAAACAATATTCAACCCCCAAATAAAAACAATCTTTAAATATCCCACCAATAACTAATCAGCACCATTTTTGATGCGATTCCTTTCTTGCTTTTCCAAACAATTTCAACTATTATTCCATTATCTTGCCTATGCAGATGTGTCTCCAGTCTGGAATAACGAAGTAGAAGTTAACTTCTAATCTAGATACTGCTCATTTAGTCGGCCATCGAACAAACCCAGCTATCAAACCAAGGCTTTACAGTAACGAGCAAGCCTCCTTTTCTGTGGGAAAATCTCTGTGCCCAAACAGATGCCACTATTTGGGAGAATCTTCCCAACTGCTTGCTTGTGTCTTAATCTGCTCATGGCAAAAGTTGATTTCTAGTGCATTCCCAGGCCAGTGGGAATTTCTGCCCTGGCCTGACAACTATTATGGGCTGGCTTTGACATAAAGCCCTACAGGGTCTAAATAGCCTCTATTCTTCGCCCAGCAGTGAAAGGGAGCTTTGTGCCAGAGATTCATTAAATTGCACCTCACAGCCCCTTCGTAAAATGGGTCTCAATAATGAACAGTCGATTTAACTAGAAAAGCTGCCGGAGCTGTTAAATTAAAGGAGAATAAAGTGCAGTTCAGGCTCAGTGTGCCAGAAGAAATGTTGACCTTAAGAAATCCTGGGTATGAAACCTCAGCTGTAAACAATAACGTATTTACAGGAGGTTTCTTAGCCAGCACTGAATACAATGGACGATGTGTCCAAGACCCAGACTGTTGTGTTGTGAGCTTTTATCCCAGTTTAAGTGGAATTTCAACCGCATTTCTAGTAAATTCTGAGTGACTTGTGAATTGTGTAACTTATTGTTATTTACTCACCAAAGAATGCATCCGTTTCCATCTGCCCCATGCTCTGAACACAAAGTTTCATTTAACATTAAGTTTTTTTTAGGACACCCTATTGCAGAATAATAAAGAAGATCACTTCTCTTACAAACGTGTATGTTGAGGAGAGGCAGTGACTCATTTGTTGGTGGGTTTTATTTTTAAAGAGCATCGAGGGAGTGAGGCCGTTAAAGAGTCTTTCTTATGTTAATTCCTGGGGTGAAAAGAGACAGTGAAACTGATAACACTGATCTAATTATCTGAGGTCCAACACAAGTTTATGACTAAAAAGAAATCCAGAATAACTCAAATCTAAGAGGAATATTACAACATCTTATGGATTCAGTGGAGGGGAAAGGACTGTTTAACGCCTGCCCAAACAGATCCTGGCACCCTCTCTTAGTTAGCAGCACAATTTTGGCAGAGTGACATCATCACAGTCATAGCAGCCGTATCCCCCCTTTTTTTCTAGTCAAGAGGCTTTGGCTTTTGTGCTGGTGGGTCATTCACATTACAGAGACTGACGCACAGATCCCGGAAACAAGTTTCTATTGCTGCATAAAGGCTGGGAGGGAGAGAAGGGGTTGGGCTGTGGCAGCACCGCTTGGAAAAAAATAGATAAACTGAGAACACAACTGAGGAGGTTATTTGTTTCAACTCTGAAGATTTAAAGTGCAAGATCGACTGCAATTGCTTATATCTCTGTAATAGATTAGTTGTTTATTTTAGACTAAATCACAAAGGTTCAAATAAGGACTAATCCACTGTCTATTTTCCACAACCAGCAAGTTACAGTAAGTCCACAGCTCCATATTGTGATGATAGTGTTGAACATTACCACCACGCCCTCTGTCCCTGAGAATTTACTTATTCAGCAGCACCCAGTGCAAAGTGATGTCACACACACAGGCTTAATCTCTTCCTACTAGTGTGTGGTCCCTGTCTGAGCAGGGACATACTCAGAGTTTAGGGTTGAGCGAATACTAATAACACCTTTGATTGATGGCCAGTGTCACAGACATAGAAAAGCCTGGCAAAATTAATGACCTCTCACAGTCCTGAGAAAAGTTTAAGGAGGGCAGTTAGTGGCGGAGACCCTGTCCTCCCCCATGTTTAGCTATGCTTCTTTCTACAGGGGTGACTGAAATTCAGTCAAGCCTCTGACAAAATGTTGAGAAGTCAGGCTTTGTGTCTCCTGGTAGAAAATCAACCCACATACCACTGCAGGACATGTTCCTCATCTGCTTCACAAAGTCATGCCATGTCAGAAATGTCTGCTTTAGAAGAGGCTGAGTAAAAAAAGAACTGGCCAGAATAGTTAAAAAGAAATAACAAAGCATGAAGACGTGTTTTCATTGTTTTAGTATTTCCATGACATTCATGTTTTTTTTTCTAACACTTCAAATAATAAAAAGAAAGGATAAAAAAAAGCCCATGTGACTTCAAGGTGACCTAAAAAAGGTTTTTTGGCCCCTGCCAATTCCAGCATCCACTCATCACCTCACCCTTAACCTTCCATCAGCCTTTCTCAACCTCTCCAGCACACCAGGAGTTGTATTAATAATTTTATTAGCAGGGGGGGAAATCCAGGGTCCATGGGCTGTCCTGGTGCCGCAATTTAGAGCTTTAAAGGCAGCCAGTGAATGAATGCGTGCTAAAGGGGAATCCCACAGGTTGGTCCACAGGGGTGAGGTCAGCAGGTGTAGCTGCAATAATCTCCCACCACTCACTTTATTGGCCTCCTCCGATTGGGTTTTTATTAAATCTCAAGCACAAGCAATTGTTCATGCTAAATGGAAGCAACTCAGCCTTTCTAAAACATGACAGAGCCCACTTGACAGAACAGCTGTAGATTAGTGCATGATTTAAACGAAGATTATATGATATTATCATTTGTAGCTTTTTAATCAGTCTCTCTTTGAATGATAGCGTATAAAAAAAGTACAGTCTAAGACATAAATAGAAAACTTAAAAAGGCACTGTTCTGCTTTGAGCAACAACAAATCAAGTGTAATATCATACTCAGTGCAGTGGCAAGATTGTGTTTGTATCTGGTGTCCAACATTTGTCCTGAGACAACAGTGCTGATTTATTCAAAGGATCACAGGTAAAATTAACATTACACGCTCAGGTATCTTGCACCTCCAACCTGCTCACAGGCAGATGTAAGATGAAAGACCCTGAACCCACCAGGCCTATACATTATATCCCCTCGGTTGGGCTAGCCCCATACTACACAGAGTGACATGTCATGACATTAAGCATAAGAAAATATTATGATTACGATTATGATTAAACACATAATAATAATAATAATAATAATAATAAACATTCTGTCTCCTAACAGTAATCAACTTTCTATCTAGTTATCCTTGAACATAAACAACCTGGAGTACCCCATGGGAATGACTAAGCATTTAACAGCCTGAGCTAGACATCCTGTTTACAATAAACACTTCTAATACATGAAGTGTCTAACCAATGTCTATCTGACTAAAAATACCTAACAATCCCCCTTTTGATACGACCAAAATCGTGTCAACCTAAATCAATGTCCCATTTTCTCCAGACGAAGCTACCTGGCGTTTTGAGAGGTGAGAGGCCCCCTCCAAAACCACTCCCTCAAGGGTAAACTACAGAGCTGAGTACTTTAGGGAAAAATGAACTAAAAACACAAAAAGGGTTACAGCGTAAGCAGGTTTTTTATTGCAGTGACATCTATATGTATGCCCTATGTGTAAGCTGATTCAACGCAACTAAGAGCATTTGAGCAGACAGAATTGTAGAAATGCATAAACATCATGTGTAGCAAGCTTTCATTGGTTAATCATAACATTAGGGGGTAACTAATACACAGAAGAAAACAAAGATTCCCTTGCATCCTATTGCAATCATGGCACTCCCCCACTCAACAATGAGAATTTAAGTTACCATTATCAATTACCATTAACACTTACCAAACTTAATTGATTTTTGGTAATTGATTTTTGATAATTAACAAACTATGAGTTCACACCCCCTACGTGTACGCAAGAATATATCAGTATGTATTAACCTTTAACCATTTTATGTAGGATCCACGGTCTTCACTCTGGTCCATGGAGCTCTTCAGTCTCTCTCTCACCGGGCTCAGTGAGGGAGATCAGGGGATAGGATTCCCAAGGGGCCAGAGCTTATACTAATTCGTAGGCAGTCGGCTCTGGATACCTACGGTCAATGGCAGTGGTAATGCACTTGAGACAGAGATGTCTAATGCAGGGGATGCAGCCACATCCACACAAGGTCAGCAGTGTGACTGCTGCCACCAA